TCAAGGGCTTTGCCAACCAAGAGGATTCTGGAATTCTGAGATCTACTCTGAGAATGGTTCGTCTCTGGAGCAGTGGGTGGGTGAGGCTGTGTCCATCCCTGATGTAATTTTGCCCCCTTCCCTCCCCAAGGTATGTTCTGGGTGGCGGTGCCATCTGCATGGAGCTACTCACAAAACAGGTGGGTGTGACAGTCCGTGGACGTGGCGTTGCTGCTGTCTGCCGTGCTTTGTGTCCCCGCTGCTCGGGCCTGCTGGCAGCCAGATCCTGCCTGTTCCCTGCCTGGCAGCTGCCTGTAGTGGCTCTGGGGTGCCTGTGCCGGGCTCGGGGAGGCCGCCCCTCGCTGAGTGGGTTCAGTTTTTGGCCCCTCACCCCAAAAAGGCCATTGAATGACTCGAACGTGGCCAGAGAAGGGCAACGGAGCTGGGGCAGGGTCTGGAGCATAGGTCTGCTGGGGAGCGGCTGGGGGAACTGGGGGGGTTCAGTCTGGAGGAGGCTGAGGGGAGACCTCCTGGCCCTCTGCAACTCCCTGCCAGGAGGGGGCAGAGAGGTGGGATGAGTCTCTGGAGCCAAGGCCCCAGCGCCAGGCCCCGAGGGAATGGCCTCAAGCTGCCCAGGGCAGGGTCAGGCTGGCTCTGAGAAGGATTTCTGTGCAGAAGGGGCTGTTGGGCGTTGGAATGGGCTGCCCAGGGCAGGGGGGAGTCCCCGGGATCCCTGGGGAGGTTGAAGAGTCGGGCTGAGCCAGCGCTGAGGGATCTGGGGGAGTTGGGAAGGGTCAGGGGGAGGGTCATGATTGGGCTGGAGGAGCCTCAAGGGCTTTGCCAACCAAGAGGATTCTGGAATTCTGAGATCTACTCTGAGAATGGTTCGTCTCTGGAGCAGTGGGTGGGTGAGGCTGTGTCCATCCCTGATGTAATTTTGCCCCCTTCCCTCCCCAAGGTATGTTCTGGGTGGCGGTGCCATCTGCATGGAGCTACTCACAAAACAGGTGGGTGTGACAGTCCGTGGACGTGGCGTTGCTGCTGTCTGCCGTGCTTTGTGTCCCCGCTGCTCGGGCCTGCTGGCAGCCAGATCCTGCCTGTTCCCTGCCTGGCAGCTGCCTGTAGTGGCTCTGGGGTGCCTGTGCCGGGCTCGGGGAGGCCGTTTTGTTGCTGGGGGGAAGCGCAGCCCTGCGGGCAGGGGTTCTGCCAGTGCTGCCCTCACCGTGTTCTCTGTCCCCCAGGGCTGGAGCAGCGCCTACTCCATCGAGTCGGTCATTATGCAGATCAGCGCGACTCTGGTGAAAGGAAAAGCCCGAGTCCAGTTTGGAGCCAACAAGGTAGGGCCGGGTGGGCGCAGGAGAACTTGCAGGGCTGTTGGTAGTGGGATGGAGGCAGATGAGCAGCTCTGGCAACGCTGTTCGGGTCGGGGAGGTGTGTGGGGTGGCTGGGCTGAGGGGTTGCTCTGGCTACTGAAAGGGCTCACAGAAATGAATTTCAGACTAAGACTGAACTGGTGCATGATTGCTTGTGTTTGTTTCCCAATGACTCCTCAACTTTTCCCTTGGCTGCTTTGTCTAGACAAAAGTAAAACGCTGCCTGTATAACTCACTGCTGGCAGAGTCAGAGCCCTCAGTGGGCGCTTCCCTGGACCACCAAAGCCCCTCACTCTGTTTTCACTGCGCATGCTCAGTCTATGTAAATGAATTCCAGGGACTCGTTATCATAAGACACCCCTTTCCAGGAAATCTAATGAATATGTATAACTGGGGTGGGGTGGGGTGTGTGTAAACTGATGTCCCTTGCTAGTTTGGGGGAGAATCTGCAGGATGACCCCGGCGTTGCTGATCAAGAACAGCTGCATAATAGTTATACTGGATTTGGACTGGTGAGTGAATTAATTTCTTTCACTTCCCTTGCAGAATCAGTACAGCCTGACGAGAGCACAGCAGTCCTACAAGTCCCTGGTTCAGATCCACGAGAAGAACGGTAAGGGCTGAGGGAGAGGGTCTGCGTTTCCCCTTGCTACTCTGAGCTCCCTTAGGCCGAGTGTCCAGACAAGCTGCTTGAGGAGTTTTGTTGGGTTTTTTTCTGCCCCAAGTGCTAAAATCTCCTGCAGTGAGACGGCAGCAGCGCGTGGCTGCAGCATCCCTCAGCGGGTCGCTGTCTGGGTGCTGTTGGGAAGGAATCCCAAGAGAAAGGCTCCTGGGAATGGGGGAGACGTGGCCCTTTGGGAGCTTTTCCTGGTGTTTATTCGTGTTGCCCCTCACGGATCTCTCTCCTGGTTTCAGGCTGGTACACACCGCCCAAGGAGGACGGCTAGCGTGGGTGCCACAGGACCAACCTCAGTTATCTTCTGGATGCTCTCCTTGGATCTTAATGATGCCTCTTGGCTTTCTCCCAGGACGTAATAGCTCTGCCTGTTGCCGGACAATAATGGCTGTTAAAAACTCTAAATAAAAACTGTTTAAGCAGTCGGACCGACCTAAAACACTTGCTGGACCCTTGCTAGCAGGCATTCTTGTTAAAACAAACTTTTGAGCCTCTTGTATCGCTGGAAGCTTTCGACTCTACTCCAGTCTAGAGCGTCCTCCTTACCTATGCTATGGATTTAATTTATTTTCTTATTTCATGTACACTGCTTTTTTTTGTTACAGTGTATGATGGATGTGTATGGAAAATGTATCTTTGGAGAAAAATTACAGTTTGTTAATTTGAAGATGCTGGTCTGACTTAATTTTTTTTTGTTTTCCCAAGCTGCTGCTGGGTGGATGGTACCCTGTGCTGGCAGCAGTGGGGGGCGCCCCCCGCCCTTCCCCATGGCTGTGCCACGCTGCCTCTTCAGCTCTGGGGCCGTGGTGGGGGCACCGGGATGCAAAAGCCCTGCGGGAAGGTCTGAAACAGCCACTGCGGAGGAAGAAAACCCTTTTTCTTTTGGCAACAACGGAGCAGGATTTCTGCCCCCTTCTCCCCTAGAGCAAGAACAGACTTTTTTTCTTTATAAACTGCAAACTTACACCGCTGGAAGGGCAGAGGGGAAGATCTGGAACGCTTCCCTGGCTCCTGCTGTGGACGAGGGGGTTGTAGCTGCACCCCAGGGCTGCCAGCTTGCACCCCGAACTTCTCCATGTCCCCTCTCGCCAGGCACTGAGACACACGGAGGCTCGGCTGTGACAAACGTGGAGCTGGAGCCCTTTCCTGTTGTGGAGGGGAAACGCTGTGTAAATGCTGCGCTGTGGATGAAAGCAGGGGCCTGGTTCTTAGGGTTTTATTTTATTTTACCTCCTCAAACCCTCCTTCCTGCTCGGCTCAGGCCCCAGCCCTCGGTGGAGGGTGTTGCTGCAGTGGTGCCCTGTTGCTTCAGTCCCTGTTCCTTGCTCCAACCCCCTCTGCTCCATCCTGAGGCTGCTGGAAGGAGATTTGGGTGTTGGAGCTCCTGAGTTCCAGGGCGTCCTCGGCTGGAGGGCATCGCTGACTCATTAGTGTCAAAGCTGACCATCGCTATTAATTCACTGTGTTTGAATAAAAGTTATTAGAAAATCAAAGGGCCTCAGAAGTCCATTATCTCCTCCAGCAGCTGTTCCCCTCTTCAGGCGTTGTCCTGCTCCAAGCCTTGCAATAAAAAGATGCTGTAGGAGAGGGATTACTGATGGCTGCTCCATGCCTGCTGCAGGAGCAGCTCCGACCTCGCCCAGGGACTATTTTTAAGCACTTGGCTGGAGGGGTTTGGGTACACTGAGAGACTCTGCCCTGGGCCTGAGCTTTCCCCAGTCCTGGTGCTGGGGGGGATGGAGGCAGCCGCGCTCTGCTCCCCTCCAGCTCAGCACCAAGAAACCTGCTGGGGAGGGGAATTCAAGGAAGAGTTAAAAAGCTCGAGGTGTTGCTATTTGGTGAAGTGGACGCTGCGCCCACTGGCCCTGGTGCTGGATTGGGTTTGGTCACGTTGAGTTGGCTGGGAGAGCTCATGGTGTGAGCGCTCCGGAGTCTAGGCCGGGATGAGCGGGAGAGTTGCACAGGGCCCTGCAGGACCCTCCGTTGCCGGGCGTCAGGGCTGGAAGTGCGGCAGGACCGGCACGGGCTGGCGTCTGGCAGGTGTCTGCCTGTCCCATCTGTTCTCCCCTCCCCAGTGTCAGGATCCGTCCTGCTCCGAGTCGGGCTCAGAGCTCGTCACCGCGGCGCTGGCTCGGCGCTTGTTTTGGCTTCTTGGGGATGCAGGCGTGCGGTGCCATCTGTCC